CTACACGCTATCCAGAGCGGGTTGTGCTTTTTCTGCTGTCCGCTGGGAGAAGAGCAGACTCTGCTCTGAAATTCAGCCGGAAAAACATGTTTGCATGTCACTGTGTTTGCATTCAGGATTAAAAATTCATGAACAGAGGTGATTTTTTTTTTTTTTCTTACTGTAGTGCACACACGTCTAGTTACAGTATGTTGCAGACTGCAGAGGAGGCACGCTGACTGCATCCTGATGAGATCAGAGGAGGAATTCTGCTTTTTCACACGACTATAAAACACAAAACATTTTATTTATAAAGCACCAAATCATGACAGAAGTTTAATAATGATACTTAAGACCATACTCTGTCACATTTTCACTTTTTGTTTTTGTCCATCAGTCGCCTCTTTAGCTGAATATGGTGCAATGAAACTCTCTGTTACAGTCAAAACGTGTTGATCAAGCGGCAAGCAGTTCGCAGAGTGTCAAAAAAGCTGTTGAAAAGTTGTCAACGTACGAGCCGATCCCGACAATTATTATCCCTTAAGTTCCACTGTCGACGCATCTTTGTCCTGAAACAGCGATGGGATCTTTAACATTAGGATACAGGTGTCCCAGTGTATGAATTCCACATTATATCACTGCGTTAAAGGCTTTATATGTGATTTTTTTGATCCAGCAGATGTCGCCCTTGAGCACCAGCATGAAACCAAAACAACTTGCGCTGCATTGTTGTGTTAGCATGCTAATGCTAGCGATCTTTATTCTGCTGGTATCTTCACACTGCATGTAAATTTACCTGAAATGAGCGTGATCTAGAAACACAGTTAAGCAGTGAGTACAGTATGTTATTCTTCTTTTCTCTAGTCCCTCAATTAAACAACTTTTATACACGAGGGGAGGAGTCAGCCGGCCGTCCCGGCGATGTAAACAAACTGAAGATAGGACTCTGAAAACTCTGAAAACATCACAGACAGTGGGACTCGGGTGTTACACCCATTGTAGACAGTCATGACTCACAGAGTTATTTTCAGAGGAAACACTTGATTTCTACATTTAAGTGTGAAAAATCACATTAAAAACTCACAGGAAGTTAAAGGTCTACACGCTGGTAAGAATCATTGTTACCACGGGGATTAAATCTCAATGGTTTGTTCTCTCCATTCATTAACAGATCATGTATCTCCATGCACTGACACCCTGTGCTGCAGCTGGAGGCCTGTGTGTGCGTGTCTTCCACTCTGACTGCAACACGTTCACTACAGTATGGCGTGATGTGTTTTTAAGCCCCCCTCCACTTAACATGCTACACTGATTGTTCCAGCTATCTGCGGCACGAGCTGTCGCTAATAAGTTATGCATAACGGGCGCAGATGGGGAAACGTGTCTGTGTGAAATGACATGTGACAAGGTGGATTTCAGATCACGTTTCCTCTGCGTTGCAGGAATCTCCCGTTCTTCTGATTTTTTTTTCCGGACCTTAAACACACCAAATCTTCTCTCAGGGTCTTAGTGCCTCATGTAACGCTTTCTTCTGGGGGCCGCTGACATTTCTCATGCCTGACTGAAATATTAACCACACGGGGTTTATCTCAAATAGAATGTCTTGTATTTCATTCATAGATGTTTATTACATTAAAAACTTCACCAATAATCTGACCTAATTCACCATCTCATCACTCGCAGACGTTATTCAAAAGTAATCCAGTTTGCCACGAGTTCTTTCACACATGCTGAAAAAAAGAGAAGTAACTTCTTGAACACATCCAGGTCTACACCCCCCCCCCACTACGCTCTGCCAATGAAAGGCGTCTGATCCAACCTTCCCAACAGGGTCCTAAAACGCTGACTAGACTCTTCACCTCTGTCGCCCCCCCGGTGGTGGATTGAATTTACAAACTCCATGTGATCTGCAGAGTCCCTCTGCACCTTTAAGTGAAAGCTAAAGACCCAGCTCTTTCATGAATACCTACTAACTTAATGATGATGGTCTCCATATTATTGATGATGATGATGGTAATGATGATGGTTTTTGTTTGATAACGACGACTTATAAGATGGTTTCTATACTGATTAGAGCTCTCAAGAACTGCCCTCAATGTTGTGCTTTGCCTCTGGTCACTTCCTGTCAGCACCTGTGTGTCCAATCAGACTCAAAGCTGATCGTTTGCTCTTACTGACATTGTTCCCTTTTTTCTAGATCCTTGCTTGTGTTGTTCTTACTCTCTGATGTACGTCGCTTTGGATAAAAGCGTCTGCTAAGTGAATTGTAGAATTGAACACGGCGACTGAAAGTGTAACAACACAACAGCAGCAGGTTAAACTGAAACTCGTCCTCTCGGCTGGTCAGTGTTTTCGGGCGATGCAGGTTTCTCTCAGTTTGTCTTCGTTGTTCCTCGTGGGGTTGTGGACTAACATGACGGCTCAAAGGCCTGTGATGGAGGCAAACAGGGTTAGAATCCTGCTCCTGACAGCCCGGCTCAGGTGGGTTCACCCGCTCCACGTCCTCACTCGTCTGAAATCATTCTGGAAGGGAAGAAGACCGGAGCCGCCCCTGCTGGATCTTTGGAGTCCTCCTGGCGCTCTTTGGGGGGGGTCACTTTCACCGTCACATGGGGAGGCAGCGTCACAGAGCCGACCCCGGCTTTGAGTTGATCCAGCTCCTCGGGGCCGGTGTTGATCTCTGTCGGCAGAACGTTTGTGCTGGTTTCCCATCATGCCCTGCTGCAAAATGTCAGACAATGAAACAGCTGCACCACCTGAGATGGAGCGAACCTCAACGGGACAAACTTTAACTTTCACTAACACGTCTCGTCCTGTGGCGTTACACGGTGCGACCACCATGCTCTGTCTTCCCCCCGCGTACAGCTTCATAACCCAGGAAGTACACCGGACCGTCGCTGGGTGTGTGAACGGCGTCCATGCAGGAAGTCCTCCATGTGACGCCGTGTTCTGTGTGGGTAACGCAGCTTTTACAGAAGGAGAAGAAGAAGACGACGGCTCAGCTTGCAGCGCAGACTCAGAGCGCAGAAGAAGAAGGTAGGACGCAGCAGTGGTAGAAAATAATAACATACATTTACTTTAATACTCTAATCTGTTTGTACTTTAAGCTAAGGGGTCATTTATTTATTTGCAACTTTGTGTTTATTGAGCAATCCAAACATTGTTAATTTTTCCGAACACAGGTCATTTCGTACATCATTATTCTTTTTTAAATTTTTATAATGTCATACAAAACAATTATAGAATGCAGAAGAAGAAAACAAAATGGTTTTAATAATATCTTCGGTTGCCCAATTTGTTTTTTTGCAATAGAGAAAAAAAAATAAAGCAACAAAAAACAAACATCCCACATAAAAAAAATAATAATAAACGGCTGGAAATCAGGACCAGTCACCCGTCAAATACAGGTGTTTTTTTTTTCAGTTTAAAAAGGTGTACAGGACAGAAACGATGACATCATCAAGTTGTGATTAAACTCACCATCGGTTAAGAAATATTTCAAGTTAATCGTACAGGAACCCACCTGAACAGAAACTGATAAAAAGTGATAAAAAAAAAGTGATAAAAATGCAAAATACAAATATCACTCAATTCGTCTCCAGGGCAACGGATCCTGCTGAGGCCAGGTTTGACTTTTTTTCCCAGCATGCAACATGTCAGCAGTGTAGAGCAGAGGTAGAGAGTTAATGTTAAATCAGATTAAACAGGTTCACTCAAACAGACACAGGATGAACACGTTTCCTCTCACATTAACCACGACACTCTGTTCAGAACCGCTCAGTCCAAACTGCACGGCCCTCCATTTGAATAAACAAACTGTATTTAGAGCACATGAGCAGCTTGGAGTGAATTCAACCCAGAGGCAGAAATGTTAAAAAAAAAAAAAAAAAAGACTTAATCAGATAATAAATAAGCCTCGAATGAATGAAATTGAAACGATTAGGACTAAAACAGCTCCACTGTTTAATCACTCTCTGCAGTGAAATGATCAGAGCCCGTGTAACACGCTGAAAATGCTTTTTCATATTTTCATTTTGTTAAATCAGTGTGTCTAGATAAACTAATTTAATCTCCAGAAGTATTTAAGTTAATTTATATTTATAAGATCATCAGTAAAAGAAAAACAAAGCTATAAACAGTTAATACTGTGTTTTTTTTTAACCTACCTTTTCAGATTAGGACACCGGCCCTTTAAGGGAGGCTCAGTGAAGAGACACAGAGGTGTGTGTGTAGGCTGAAAACGAAGCGTGTGTAAAGCTGTGGGCATTTCTTTAATTCTTTTCTTCTTTATATGTGATTTTTTTTGATCCAGCAGATGTCGCCCTTGAGCACCAGCATGAAACCAAAACAACTTGCGCTGCATTGTTGTGTTAGCATGCTAATGCTAGAGATCTTTATTATGCTGGTATCTTCACACTGCATGTAAATTTACCTGAAATGAGCGTGATCTAGAAACACAGTTAAGCAGTGAGTACAGTATGTTATTCTTCTTTTCTCTAGACCCTCAATTAAACAACTTTTATACATGAGGGGAGGAGTCAGCCGGCCGTCCCGGCGATGTAAACAAACTGAAGATAGGACTCTGAAAACTCTGAAAACATCACAGACAGTGGGACTCGGGTGTTACACCCATTGTAGACAGTCATGACTCACAGAGTTATTTTCAGATATACTTGATTTATATTACATTTAAGTGTGAAAAATCACCTTTAAAGACTTTAACAAAAGTTGCTAAAAGTGAAGACGGACGAGTTCTGACCCGTTCATTTCAAGGGTGCAACACCTGCACCGTGCAGAATCAACACTATATTTAATATACATGCTGCACCCACAGAGGCACACATGCACAAACGGGACCTGTGGACATGCATTGGTGGAGGGATGTCAGGGTGGGGCTGCTACATGGGGGGGGGGGGGGCAAGTTGATGTTTGCCTTGCACCTCAGCAGTCCAGCCACCAGACCAACTTCCATACTTTGGTCTGCCTTGAACCGCTGCCCCTCCTGTCCCCCCCCCCATTCATCTAACATCATACTAATATAGTTCAGCTCATGTGCTTCATATGAAGGAAAAACTAAACAGTGTCGTCAGCGTTTACTCCCTCATGTTTTCACACCTGCTGCGTTAGCAAGTGCAGAGGAAAGAACAACATCACATGTCGTCGTTAAAGGACCATTTTCCACTAATTTCAGTGTTTCTCATTTATTTATAATTTAATCAAATATCCCTCGTAAAGACGTCTCACTGCAAGTTCTCACTTTTTCTTTAATTGTTTTTTAAAAAAATTTTTTAGTCGACTCTCTCCCAGCAGGTTTTCCAGGAAAAGTCATTCCCTTTAATGGGAACAGACAGCAGGAATAATACAGTTAACCCGGGATGACTATCAACTGCTGAACCTCATCATGCCGCTCGCAGGCTCTCACTTATGTTGTCACAGCATCTGACCTGTTCCTCCGGCTTTCAGCTGGTTCATGCCAAATAAAGGGAGGGATCGCTAAAAAGGGAAATCAGCTTCCTCAGGTAGGCTTCGAGGAAACCTAATCTGGAAAGTTAAACTTTTGTATTTTAGCCGGTTTTCTCTGTTTTTTCATGATGTTGTTTGACTTCTTCAAGGTGCCAGTAGAGGGGCGATGAGAGAGGACGCAGCGATGAAGACACATCTTTAAGTCCACCTGCATACGAAGACATCTTCCCCTTCTTCTAACAAACACACTCAGACATAATAAACTCTGCAGGAATCATCCTCTTTTCCTGTGAATAAATCAAAGATATGATGTCAAATGTTTATGTTGAAAAGTTCTGCAGTTTCCCAGCGCAGACTCGTCTCTCACAGCTGTTATCATGTAAGAGATTCACCACCACGATTAAATATGAAGTCATCAAAACATCCACTCAGACGAGGCTCTCTGCAGGAAGAAGATCATTAAAATGGAGATTTATGGACAAAGTCAGCATTTAAGTTTTTTGGAAACTTTGGTATAAAGAATGACACACTCCCAAACAAATCCAGAGGCGTGTTGTTATGTGTTGATATCTGCAGAAATGCAGCGTTCACATTAAGTGTGTTTGGCAGAGAGGAAACAGACTGACAGAGACACAGCAGGGACGCTTTGTACTGGAAGTAATCAAATCTTTTTAAATCATATCATTCTTCAAATTCATTCATTCGACCTTTATTTATACTCGAGGGGGGGGACCCTGATTTACAACGACATTGAGTCGTTACAGAATCAATTAAAAGACAATTCAAAGAACCGGGGTGCATTCATCTTTTTTTTTTTTTGCTTATGAAGGATCCTAACTGAGGGGAAATGACCCGGAAGCATCTGAGTAGCGGCCGTGATGAGAGCCGTTTGAATTCTCTCAGAGCAAAGGAAAGGTGGGTCAAAGCTTCCTCCCTTTTAGCATAGGAGACACCGGACCATCCTTAAGGAAAGGAGATGAGATCATGCCGTCCCACAATTCCTTGCGGGTGCAACATTTAAAAACAATTTCCGTATCCGACCGATGTAGTAAGAGATATTTTAAGGCAGATGATGTTTTAAAGAGGTTAGTGAAAGAGGATAGGAGGGATACACCCCCGGAACAAGGGTGTATACGAGGACACTACGGTCCACATGGATCTCTAAGAAGCTGAGACGATTCAAAAAGATTCTTTAAATATAAAAAAAGAGTGTAAGAAAAAGACTAACATGTCCTCAAATAATGAAGCGAGCTCAAAGAGTTCAATGAAAAGAAATACAATAAATAAAACACACATATGTAACACAGGTTTAAAATCAGGTTTCTCAAATGTCCAAAAGGTCAAAGTTCATCGCCCTTGAAGGAGAGGTTGTCTCTTCCATCAGGGTCAGATGCAGAATAAGAAAAAGCAGATTTTCACAACTTCAGATTTGACAAGGGGACAAATGACCAGCGGAGAAATGTATAAGTTCTGTTATTCTTCTATTTGTACTTAAAGGAGAACATGAAAGTAGAGCGCCAACAGCCTAGTGGTTATGTTGAGCGCCCCATGTACAGAGGACGTAGTCGCTGTGGGTTTGAACCCGACCTCGGCCCTTTGCTGCATGTCAACCCCCTCCTCTGTCCTCCCAACACTTCCTGTCTCTCTTCACCTCCACTATCCAATAAAGGCAAAAAGAATATCTTTAAAACAATAAGGAGAACATGAAAGTAAAAAAACAAACTTTACAAGAAACTTTGATTAAATTCAAGATATTTGAGGTTTAGAAAAAGCTTCTTCTTCTACAGAATCAAGACAATCTCTATTTCTAATAAATAATAATAATTATGATTAATGAAAAGTTTCTGGCTCAGCAAACAGCTCGTAGGAAGCCGGAGTGTTTTTTTTTTTGTCCCCCTCCTGCAGGATCATCGAGCTGCATGTAATGGTTTAGTGATGCGTTCACTGTCGCTTGTGTTTGCAGGATAAACAGAAGAGTCAGAGCACCACACGGGGGCAGAAACACTGAGCAAATCAATACACCTCCGCACCAGTCAGTCAGTCAGTCAGTCAGTCAGTCAGTCAGCCAGTCACCTCCGGGTCAGAGCAGGTATCTGCTGCGCACGGCCTACCGAATCATCATCATCATCATAATAATCATAATAATAATAATTAATGTTTAGGTTTTATTGTAATGTTCGGTTTCTGGTATTCTCCTGTTTTTCCCCACATTTTTCTTAATTTTGTTTTCTTTTTGAAACATTATTAAAATATAATAATATCATTATTATCTTGTTTTGATTACGTCACAGACCGCCAAGTTAATTTCCCGGTTGTTTTTTAGATGTTATGCAAATAAATCAGCCCCATTAATCTCGTGTGAATAATTCATAAACTCAGATTTAACTGTTGTTTTTTGTCAAATAAATGTTCCTTCTGTATTTAAAGGTCAGTGTTTGGTGATCTTAATGAGGCACGTGAGTAAAATTGTAATCAAAACTACCTGCGTAAATAAACACGTGAAGCATTCATGACGTAAAATCTGATTTAAAAAAAACAAACACATGATGTTGCTGTCTATGTATTTATATTTCAAACAACCAGTCTGAGTTTAAGAAGAGTTTAAATTGTATTTTTTAATAGTTTAATTTCTATAAATTAGGAGCTTTGGGGCTAAAAAGTAAAATAAAATAAACTTTATTGATTTATTTAATTTCTCATTTTCCCCCTCAGAGATCCTTCCTCACACTTCTTTCACTTCTCCTCCTGAATTAAAGAAATGTGTTTTAATACGTCAAATATTGGCATCAGAAGCAGACACATGTTAGACTAACGGGACTTTATTTTTTATTATAATGAAGATTTTTTGGGGTGTTTTATGTTTTGAATATGGAGCTTCACGAGTCACAAACGGACGCAGAGAAAACTATTTAAAGTGGATCTACTTTTCATGCGGAAGCTTATCTTCATCTCCAAGAGCACAAATAACTTTTCTTTCTTTCTTTCTTTTTTAATCCAAACTAACTCAAATCATTCACAAGTGTCCACCGCTCGCACTCCAAAAAGTCTAAAATTGAACATAGACATTCATTTAGCAAACCTCCTTCAAACTTGTGCCTGCAGATCTGAAACCGCAGCGCAATATGACTTTCATTATTTTTACAGCACTGTAAAACGCGGGTGGCCGACAAGAACCCCCCCCTATTATAGATTTTAACATTTTCTGCAGCATTAGACACGATTTATGAAAGTCTGAGAGAACAAGCTGAAACCATCACAACTCCGGAAAATAACAGAGAACAGGAAGAGGAGGAGAAAAAAGAGAGCTGATATGAGTGTGTAAAGTTATGAAAAGATTATGATCAGTCATTTTGCGGTTAATAAAAAAGGGAAAGTACTTTTATTATTTCCATGTGGAGATCATTTAAAGTCCCAGCAACATATTTTGTTCAATTATGAACCAAAGAACTGCGCTTTGTTGACGTTTTATTTTCTATTTGGAGTTTTTTTTATTTCATATTTTAAACTCTAACATGAGAGAAAATCAAATTTAGATAAACCTTTATTTATAAAAACAGCAGGGACATTTTCAGATTAAAGCAGCAGAAAGTGAAGAGAGAGAATAATAGAGCACAGATTGCACAAATAAAAAGATAGATATCACTGCACATCAGTAAGAGAGGATTTTATAAAATGATTGCACATGAATTAAGTGAATTGTTTCCAGATTTAAAAAAAAAAAAAAGAAGAAGAGGGGCAGAGTAACTTTAAAGCTGTCCTTGAATGCAACAGGTGTTTTTCTGTGCTCAGTATTTTCTCTGTGCAGGACTGCACCATGCAGCTCTTCTTCCCTCTTTGTAGTTCTTTTTAAAAGATGATTTCTTTGCAGGATGAGCGTCCATTAAACTTCTTTTATTTCCAACAAGAGGGGGAGGCCAAATATGCTCCCTAAACATTTCTTTCATTTGGACTCAAACACACCAAAGTGTCCAGTAATCCCCCGTAAAACCCATGATGAGTCTGGAGGAGTGATGATGTGTGCTGACTGACCCCCGCTCTGCAGGCTTGCACCGAGTGGACCCGGGTCATTGTGTTTTGCATTGTTGCTCCTCCATCCTCCCATATGGTGCACGCTAATAGGAAGGGGCTGATCTGGGGCGGCTACCGACAGATGAAGCTGTGGGCTGTAACCGGAGCTCATTGTTTGAGGATGTTAGGTTTTTTAAAAAACATCACCGCTCAATGAGGAGAGCCTGAAAGTGTTTTTCATCTTTATTTAAAGAAACGTTTGGAGCCTGTTTTCTTTCAGTTATTGTTCACAATTCAATCAACATGCAAAGAACTATTAATCCAGTATCTTAGTGAATCATTCTCCTCATTCTGTTCTCCCTCGTGTGGCTTTAAGAGGCACAAAATCATCTTCTTCTAACGCTGCTGATGTTTTTTTATTCTATGCAGTTTTTGTTCTGACCCTCCAAACAGATCTCCATTTTTCATCCTGCATCATTACATTCAAATTCAAATTTGTCTAAAAGCCCTCTGAGTTGCTTGTTTTACATATTTTTAAGATGAAAGTTAAGATGATGTCATGATTTTTTGGGGAGTTTCTTTTTTAGCATCTTAAGACGGTTTTTATATCATCAGAGTAACACCAGGGGTCTTCAAATAGACTTTAAAGTTGAATGTATTTAAAACATCAACACCTGATGAGTTCTAGAAGTCTATCTGAAGTGTGCTGATCCACTCTGATCTTGAAAAGCTGCACCCCGGATGAGGAGCACGGCTCTGCACAGGTCCCCATTCAAGCTCATGTTGCAAAAGTTTTTATATTATTGTGAATCTGAGCTTCCATTAAGGGATCATTTCTTCCCACTGAATTCCTGTTTTTGCACCTTGACCTAATAAGGCCGTGTTCCCAAAGCCTCATGAAACACATTTGGGGAGCTTCTTGTTACAGGTTGCAGGCCTTTAAGTTGTGAGAACTTCTGGATTTATCATCTTAACATCGCCGAGTGGAGGAAGGTGTTTAAGACTGACGTGGTAAAAGTTGACAGTTTTCATTAAAAAAGGAGAAAAACAGAAAAGTGTGAATATCAAAGTGAATCTACTGAAACATCCATCTTTGAAAATGTTTAACCCGGAGGACTCAGGCGGCTGTGAGGCAGAAGCAGGATGACAGGAGGAGGGACTGTTCTCAACATTTCATTTAGATGTTGTTTAAAGTTTTTCCTTTTATATTAACCTTCACATTGCAGAGGTAGCTGAAGTTTGCGTCATGTATGTATGGATGTTTGTCCGCTCTGGGCTTCCGTACAGACAAATGA